TGACCTTTTCTACATTTACTGTTGGTATTAAACACAGGAAGATTGAGGCAACGTCATTAAACAACTCAACTAATAGTTCCAAAGATTTCAGTAACAATGTTGAAATAGCTTTTACCTGTGCGCTCCAGGGGATGAAGTGGAGGAGGGGGCATTGGGATTATTTCCTTCCCAAAAGATCTATTTAGTTTTCAAAAAGTTGGAAAAGAGAAAGATGATTTCACATACTGGAAATCCTCTTTAATTACCAGTGGCTTCACATTTTATGAGTTAAGCAAACCAAGCCAACTCACACAGCCATAGTAGAGAACAGACATCCTGTGTTTTTCTCTTCAATTTTTTAGATCTCTCACCTTCAAATGGAATCCCCACTGTGATCACTGCCACAACTTCCCCCACCTCCATGCCTGCTTCTTTCAAATGTTATGAGCTATTCTTTCAGTCTCACTGGTTATGTCATTATTTGATCCCAAACACAGGTGACTCCTCTACCTACTATAGGTTATGCTCACCAACACCTCTAGACCATAAATAATCCCAGTGTAGGTTCCACAGTCTGGTCAAGTTGAAGCTATGGATATGGGTGAGCAGATGCTTTGCTTTTCCAGGGAGGGGGAAACCTTAGGGAAGGGGTCTCAAATACAGGAGAGAAAAAAAAGCCCAAGGTTTGACAACATGCTCTGTTGACAAGATTGTGGAGAAGTAAGACTTTCACACCTTGCTGGGGAGAGTGTAAAATGATGGAGAATTTGTCCATGTCTAGCAAAAATTTCACTGGTATAGCAATCTAGTAATTCCACTTGTAAGACTGGCAGCATTGGCAAATATGAAGTGATGTGTATTTGAAATATCAAAAGATTGGAAATAACCCCAGCTATCGATCAATAGTGAAGTGGTTGAATCAATTATTAATACATCCACACAATGAAGTAGTAGGTAAGTGTAAAAATAACTGAGGACACTCTATGTGGCGTCATCTCAAGGATGTGTTGTTTAATTAAAATAATAAAAACTGCAGAGCCATGGTTATCCGTGGCTACCATTATATGCAAATACAAAAGCATACCAGAGTCCAGAAGGACAGTGATATCATCAGGGCTCTGTCTCTTGGCTCTGCTTATCTGTGCTTGGCTTCATTCTGTAGTCTGGTTCTTTTGAGGCAGGATAGTAAGACATTAGGAAAACTCCTTGGCAAGTGGAATGGGGAAACTGAGACAAATAGCTAAACAAGGCTGAACAATTTACAGCCAGCTAATAAATTGCAGGGCCTTATCTTCCCTAACCAAGGACATTTAGGAGCAAATAATTTACACATTCCAGACCATGAGGGGGAAGACCTGCCCTGATCCTGATAACTCTCTGGTGATATTCTTTGAACATAAAGCTGACCAGAGAATGAACCTGACCCTATATGCTCATTTTGATGAATCAGCATATTAAAGAACACACCTGGAAAGCTGATGAATATTCTATTGAGATCCTTTCAAGACTTCCCCTAAAATGTCTGCCTTTAGAAAATAGATGATCCAGGGTGCATTCTTCCTGGAGCATGCACACCTTTCCCACCCCTTCTTTCCTCGGGCATGTTCTTTGCTTTCTTTCTCCTCTAAAGATTCTCAGGAGACTTGCAACCAGGGGAGCAGTGGGCAGCAGCAGCTCGTCTGGGGCTAACCCCAGGAATCTGTCTCCAAGATCCCTCTCTTTACCTCTATAACTTGCTTCCTGAGCCCACACAGCCCAGCTGGCTCACTTCTGCCTCTGTGACTTTCTTCCTAAAGGGCCAAGGCAGCCTTGCCTAGACTCAACTTCCTCACATTTCCAAAGGGCCAAGGCAGCTCCGCCTAGGTATACTCTTGTTGCTATGATCTTGCCTCTCCTATCTGAAGCCCTTCCTTTGTTTCACTGTCCTCAGCTTTAGTAAATGTCCTCTCAAAATCGCCTGGACTCTTATTGTGAATTCTTTCCTGCACAAAGTCAAGAAGCCACAAATCTGCCTCAGTCCCAGTCCCTTTCCAGTGACACTTTCCATGCAATAGATGAGACAACTGTTTGCAGTCCATGCTATTTTATCAAACCAAGGAAGGCCTAGCTTGTGTTAGAGTCCCATCCTATGCAAAGGGGAGGAGAGGACAGAGTGGAGTAGTTGACAGCCCCACCAGGTCCCCAAATGAAATAGTGCCACTGAACACATAAGGACAAAGATGCCCGTGACAGGCTGAGACCTTTAAGAATGAGATGATGAGAAGATCTCAAAGTTTGTCCAGATTTCAAAATTCCATTAAATACATAAGATAGTAAACATTGTGAACTGCCTTTTCTGGGGTATCCACATGGAAGCAGCTGTAAGCATTTCTTAAAACTTCATATCCAAGAACTCTTAGCAATTTTTTGAATTATTGTTGGGATTGCATCATAATTTCCTTCTGGTTTGTCCATTTCACTACTAGGTTTTTCAAGGAATCTGCAGTCTATCACCTGGATAGGAAGCAGGAGTTTAGAAAGTGAATTTTGAATTGTAACAGTGGAATGAAAACACCAGGACCTGTGCCTGTACTAGAACAACACAGTTTTTGGTGTTATGTTTCACACCCAAGAGCTCTTCCTTTATTTCCAGGAGCCGGTATGGATGCTTCTGGAATTCTCTAGGGCCGGACTTACTGGAGATCTGAGGGGGAAGGGTGTGTGTTACTTATGGGAAGAAGGCTAATGATCTCAGAAGTACTTTGGGACAAACAGAGAGCTTCCAGCGAGCCATGTACACGCACACACAGGCTGCCTGCCCAGTCTTAGCGTTTGCAAAGACAGGCAAAGCATCCACATGAAAGCAAAATTTCTGGGCATCCAAAGGCTGTGATGACTAAGAAGCTCAGATTATCTGAGTCTCCCCAGATAGTCTATTTCATCAGGAAGACTTCAAAGACTATTCTTACTAACTACTCATGGATTTTTACAAAAACAATTTCTCCTCCCTTTTTTGTTCTCCTAAAACCAAACTTCTTTACACTCTGGCTCAAGAAATCTTCTGCTTCTCATGGTTGAAACTGAGCCTGGGGAAATGGCCTTGTTACCTTTTAATAGATCATTCCAGCAAGCCCTGTGAGCTAATGGCCATTCACTCTGCATGGTCTCCAGGATCGGCTCAGTGAAGCCTCCACTCCAATTAATATAAAACAAACAACACTCCTATGCTTTTATAATGACATAAATTTCTCAAAACCATGTAAACTCAAGGTCTTTATTAAAAATCAGAAATCTCTTATAATATTGACCACCCTATGTTAATACTATAGCATGTTAAAAATAGATTCCATTCCATTCTTCTAGTATTCATTGAAGTTTAAGTTTAAGACTGTAAAGCACCTCTTTGAGGCTTGTGTCATTGCTCCACTTTTCTTCTTGTTGCTGCCATCCACAGCTCCTCCTTCCCTCCACACACCTATACAGAGTGGAGACTTTGGTGCCTAATACCACTATTCTGTTGACATCAACTCCTGGGCCATAACCCACCTGGACTATAATGGGACAGCAAACATGTCCCATCCAACCTCCTGGGTTCTCTGGTCCTTGACCTCCTCATTTCTAACAGCCTACTCCTCTTCTTCTCTACATCCTAGACCAGTGATGGCGAACCTTTTGAGCTCGGCATGTCAGCATTTTGAAAAACCCTAACTTAACTCTGGTGCCGTGTCACATGTAGAAATTTTTTGATATTTGCAACCATAGTAAAACAAAGACTTATATTTTTGATATTTATTTTATATATTTAAATGCCATTTAACAAAGAAAAATCAACCAAAAAAATGAGTTCGCGTGTCACCTTTGACACGTGTGTCAAAGGTTCGCCATCACTGTCCTAGACCTTGTCAATGCTCCAACTGATCCACCTCAAAAATCAGTATTTAAACACCAACTCTCTGATCAGAGTCCTCACATCCCAACGTAGAGTCTCACATGTTCTTTGACATCATCAAGACCATTATCCCCTCCACTGTCTTCTAATTCTGAGACTTCTTGGTCTTAACTTCACCAACCTCCAGGTTTTGCTTAAATTCCAGCCTCTCATTTCAGTCCCTCTATTGCAATTACTCTCAAATTATGTTTCCTTCTATCCTCTGCTGTTTCTGCTTTATCCTAGCCTGAATCCAGGTAATTGAGAACCTTCAAAGAAACGTTTCCAGTCCCTGTGAATACTGGAAATCCCTTCTGCTCCCCCACTCTCAGTGGATGGCTTTGTATCCTGGGTCTAGGAGAAAACGGAAACCACCAAACACTTCCCACCATCACCTAGAAATATCTCATCCACATCCGTGTCCTGATTCACCTTCCTTGTCCATTTTCCTGTTACTGATCAATTGTCAAAAGGGGGCCTGGCCCCATTCCCTCCCAGTAATCCCATTTTTTGCCCACTGGGTCTTTTCCATCAGCATTTAAATTCTCTTTCAACCTATAAAAATAAGAGAAAGAACAAGCCTTCTTTGGACTTTACATCCCCTTCCAATTATCTCCTTATCTTGATCCTTCCCTTCACAATTAAATGTCTACACTTGCTCACACCGTTCATTTCCTCACTCCTCTAGTCTAGTTCTCACCCTCAAAACACCCACTGAAATGTCTTTCATCAACTTCAACAAAGTACTTGCCACTTAAGCCAGTGGATACTTTTTAGACTTGATTTGTTCTCTTGATTCTTGATGGTATCCACCACAGAGGTCTCTTTCTTTCTCTGAAAACTCTGTTGTGTTTCCTGGGCTCACTGACACCACACTCACCTGGCTTCCCTTCCATCTGTCTGGCTTCTCCTATTGTTTCTATCATGAGCTTTCTCTTCTAACTAATGAGCTCCCAAGGGCCTCATTGCTGGGTTCCTTCCTTCCTTTTCCTTCCTTCCTTCCTTCCTTCCTTCCTTCCTTCCTTCCTTCCTTCCTTCCTTCCTTCCTCCTTCCTTTCCCTCCCTCCCTCCCGTCCTCCCTCCTTCCCTTCCTTTCTTTTTCCCCCCAAATTTACCTAAACACTTTATTAACAGTGGAACATCTTCCCCATGGCCAGGTGGTCCACCCAGACAGCCAGGACCCAGACACAAATTCAGCGCAGCCTCCAAGCCTCTTGCTCTGACTCCAATAGAGTGAGCACGTCACCCTCGCGCACGGGTCCTTTCACGCTGCACGTGATGGAGTGGCTGGTAGCATCCATGAATTCCATGCGCACCTGCGTGCACTGTCCCTGGGAACCGGTCCTGCCCAGCACCTTGGTGACCTCGGCTAGCTTGATAGGTTGCACACAACTCATACCCGTGATGGCGGCAACTGTCCGGCGGACGCTGGGTTTTTTTCTTTTACCTTTTATTGTGTCTTGTTTTCTCCTCTGCTTTGGATTACTATCTCTTCACCAAAGAGCCTGAAATACACATCTGTGTCCCAGGTCTCTTATCTGAACTCCAAACCTAAGAGTATGTATGTACCCAACTGACCACATACCCACGCCTGGGTGTCTCAAATTCGGTTTGTCCTAAGTTGAACCTATCATCTCCCTCCCACATACCCATTCCCAATATAAATTCCAGACAGAACAAGTAGTTGATCAGAGCCATGGAACTCTGAGAAAGCTAGGTGTAGGAGCTGTACATGAATCTGTAGACAAGTTAGGAAACAGAAAAGAAAGTGAAGTAAAAGACTTGAAGCAACTACTTACATATAAGCCTACCCTTTCCTGTCTCCTGGTATTTCTGAAGGCTGAACTATATAAATTCTGAATACTCAGTAGACTTGAGGATGTAACTTTTCAATACACGTCCAACCCCATTCTTCCAAATGTGATAACCACATTGTGGAAAAGCTTGACATAGATGTGTTTCCACATGAGACTAACCCTTGAAAATGGTGTTTCCGGCCTGGAAAAAATGAAGGACCAGGTTAAAATGAGGAAAACCTATAAAATCATGGACAAACATGGGAGACAGGCTCAGTCTGTTCATAAAATTCCAGAACATCCAAGTTATGGAACACCCTCTGAAGCTTGAAAGAGGTCATTTTAGACCTTATACCATGGACAGTGAGCTTATGAAACTTAAGCCCAGAAGGGATACAGCCTTGGCATGAAAATAAACTCAAGGAAAGATTTAAGTCTGTGGACCACAGATTTAGAAGGGGCTCTATCATGCATCGTCACAGCAAACACTCACTGAGTGCCCCAACCTATTGGGGATCTCACTAGATCCTTTCAGTTCTTGACACCATGAGACAATGACAATGTCCCACCACATGCCCCCCACATACCACTGTTAGAATACTGGCATGGTTCCCCATGTCCATGCCAGCCATCTGACCTAGTGTGATGATGATCTATTTGTTGTTGTCTTTCAGCTCCAGTATTATAAAGGACATTGAATGAATGATCTTCCATGTTAGTTATGAATGCTGCAACTTTAGACAAATCGTCTCTGCCCTTCTCTTAAAGGATAAACAGGATCCTTTTCATATTTTGCTCCAGGCCCTCTAAACTGACTATGTGTACACACACATACACATGTGCTTGCACACACGTACACATGTGCTTGTCTTCCCACACAAGTACTAAGTAGCAGCCTGATTATATCCTAGATTCATGGTCTCAAAAGCTAACTTTGCTGACCCCACCGAACAGCATCCAGCTCTATGGTGGTGGCAAGAATCTCAAAACAAAATTCATATCTTGTTTTCTCTAGTTCTGCACAAAGATTCATGGCAAATAGAGCTCAGGAGCTGGGAGGAACACCCTGTCTGGATGAAACAGAACAACATGCTTCTGAATCTTGGATCCAGGCACGAATTCAGAGAGCACCTACCACCTCCCTCGTCTTCATCCAGGATATAAGACATTCCTGCTCTAAGTTGAATCTTATCATCGTTCTTGTACTAATGTGTTTAAGCGAATTCGTGGAACATGATGCATAGCTCCTGCTGTGAATATAAAATCATACATCAGTAGGTCCCCCAGCCAGAATGAAATGAATGACTGCATCAGTTAATGAAATCATTTGATTAAAAAGCAAACAACTGCCCAAACTGTCTGGAAAACAGCATCAATTCCCCAGTGTTGGGGGGACGGAGTCTCTGAGGCATGCCATGGCATTGCCAGTAAACAGAGCTTCATTTTTATTAGCCAAGTAAAAAAAAAAATACGACTTCTGCATGGGAAACAGTAATGGGTTTAATGGATTTGGTTTAGGAGCTGGGAGCGGTCTAAGCCAGTGAGGATAAGAAGCCAAGGTTATAGAACACAGCTGAGCCAGGAAGAGTTCTTTTATCTTCTCCTTATCCTGGGAAATGGACTCTGGGAAGCCTTGTAACGTAGCCTGTTACAAACCTTACTTCCATCATAAAAGGCTTTGCTGGACCTCTGCCTGTTTATGACCTGTTCAGCCACAGGCAATTGGAGGACATGGGGAACTGAAATATTTCCATGACAACCGTTTTTTATTAAGAGAAGAAAATGTTAGAATTCTTTTTCATGACCGAACTGTTCTGAAATAAAAAATTGATCAGAAAGGTTATTCAAGAGTATTTTTACCCAAATAATGTTCCAATGACTAGTTATAATTGAAGACTAATATCCAAGACTCCTGGCTCCTAATTAAATATATCATTTAATCATTCTATCTTCCATTTTCCCAGCAGGAAATAGAGATTATAGCAGTAATGGCATGTGGGGGTAGTTTTAAAATTAATTAGCTCGTGATTGAAAAGTGTGTTTTGAGGTAGTAAAATAAAAACTATTATAAAATTTTATAATGTCATTATCAGTTTTATAAAAAATAAATAAAAATCTAATGTACTTCGCCCCATGGTGCCTGCAATTAATTTATGGGTGTTAGCTTTTATTTCTAAATTTTTTTATTTTGGTAGTTACAAGGTCATTTTGAAGTGATTTTATTAGTATCTCCTGAATCCTAGTTTAAGAAACACAGAGACACACACACCCAGACACACACTCTGTCAGCCACAAAGACACAGCAGCCAGGTTTCCTGAGCCTTCTGTGGAGACAGCCAGAAGCCCTGCTCTGATTCCATTTCTTGCTTCGACTCCATTGCTCACTGATTTAGAACATGGGACCACATTTGCAACTGTGAGATCTTCAGCACATTCCAAACTTTGACTTTCAGGTTAGTTAAATATTCAAATAAGTAGAAAGACATCAGATAACACACTTGCATTATTAATTTACTAAAAATGAGAATTCAGTAGGAACATAACATTTTATCAACTGTACTAAATACAGCATACCCCTTTATAATACCAACTAGTGGTCCGGTGCACGAAATTCATGTGGGAGGAGGGGGGGTGTCCCTCAGCCTGGTCTGCAACCTCTCCAATCTGGGACTCCTCGTTTGATGTCCGACTGCTGGTTTAGGCCTGATCCCACAGGGGGCTGGTTTAGGCCTAAACCAGCAGTTGGACATCCCTTTCACAATCCAGGACCGCTGGCTCCTAACTGCTCACCTGCCTGCCTGCCTGATTGCCCCTAACCGCTTCTGCCTGCCAGCCTGATCACCCCCTAACCCAGCCGTGGGCAAACTACGGCCCGCGGGTCAGATCCGGCCTGTTTGAAATGAATAAAACTAAAAAAAAAAAAAAGACCGTACACTTTTAATTAATGATGTTTACTTTGAATTTATATTAGTTCACACAAACACTCCATCCATGCTTTTGTTCCGGCCCTCCAGTCCAGTTTAAGAACCCATTGTGGCCCTTGAGTCAAAAAGTTTGCCCCCCCCTGCCCTAACCACTCCCCTGCCAGCCTGATTGATGCCTAACTGCTCCCCTGCCTGCCTGAGTGCTCCCAACTGCCCTCCCCTGCTGGCCTGATCACCCCCAAGGGTGATACTTTTATTAGTATAGATATGACCCTTCACAGAAAATTTCACTAACCCTGCTTTACAATAAGGGCTTGACGATTGAATTATTGGGGCCAGACACCAAGATTTCCTTTCTTTAAATAGTGGAGGGAATAATTATCTGTCTTTAAGTTGCCCTGAACATCAAATGAGATAATGACTTAGAAAAGTATAAAAGCACCACATAAAGACAACTGTATTTTTCATGTACTGAAAAGACAATAAAGTGGTAAAATGAAAAACACTATCTTTATTCTCCCCATTCCTTCCTTTACAACCTTTATTTAAACTTTGAAATTACTAGAGGCCCAGTGCATGAAATTTGTGCACTGGGGGGGGGCCCCTTCAGCCCAGCTTGCACCCTCTCCAATCGGGGCCCCCTGTGGGATCGGGCCTAAACCAGCAGTCGAACATCCCCCTCACAATCCAGGACTGCTGGCTCCCAACCACTCACCTGCCTGCCTGCCTGATTGCCCCTAACCACTTCTGCCTGTCAGCCTGATCACCCCCTAACCACTCCCCTGCCAACCTGATCAATGCCTAACTGTTCCCCTGCTGGCCTGGTCGTCCCCAACTGTCCTCCCCTGCTGGCCCGGTCACCCTTAACTGCCCTCCCCTGCAGACCTGGTTGCCCCCAATTGCCCTCCCCTGCAGCTCATCTTGTGGTGGTCATCTTGTGGCCACATGGGGGTGGCCATCTTTGACCACATAGGGGCGGCCATCTTGTGTGTTGGAGTGATGGTCAATTTGCATACTGGTCGTGGCTAATTAGCATATCTGGGCTAATTAGCATATCCCTCTCTTATTATATAGGATTAGTTTCAGGTTTTATATTAGTTACAGAATAGTGGTTAGACAATCATATACTTTACAAAGTGTTCCTCGATATTTCCAGTACCCACCTGGCATTGTACTGTCATTACAACACTATTGACTATATTCCCTATTTAAGTGACAATAGGTTTACAGGTTCCTTCCAATCTTTCTTTTGTGTTGCTCGCCCTTCCTTTTCTTTCTCATGTCTTCCCTCATTTTCTTTATATAGTATCTCAATTGGCCCTCAAAGCTCAGCGAAGGCACTGGGACATGCTTAATCCATTTTACAGACCAGGAAACTGAGGACAATTCCAGTTGGCTGTGGAAGTGGACTCAGCGAGCAGGGAGCCCTCACAGCCGGCTCTCTGCCTTTTCTAAGGGGCAGCCGCTGGGGCAAACAGAACAAACCTTCCCGTCAGGCTTCTGAGCCTCATTCTCAAGCACCTCTTCATCACTGACACTCCACATTCTTTCCTCTCCCCCGCCCCCCGCCCTCATTCTCTACTGTCCCCCCTTCTCCGGAGCAGGTGGTAGGCTTCGCACTCACCGCTCAGGTGTTTGCTGCTGTGGGGCAGGGCGAGCACGGGCTTGCTTTTGGGCCAAGGCAGGAGAAGGAGTCGCC